CACTTGCAAGGAAGTATGTTCTGCAAAAACAAGATTTTTTCGAAATTAGAACATGTTCTTTCCATGGGCACAAGCTAGAAACCTTTTCCGAACAACTATAATAAAGATTTTATACGAAGGCTTTGATACCGACCCCTACATCAATACCATCAACTTTATCAACTTACTCCTACGCTTTTATTTCTGCATCTAATTCCTAAATATTATATACTATATCCTTTGTTACTATATTTAACCTCTGATAAGTGTACTTGATCCCTTATAAATATGGTTAATCCTTTAAAAGTAATCTTAAACCGTTAGAAGTATGTCTGATTACTTGATATCATATCTATTGCCTTACTTCTATGCCTAAACTCTCATTCCTTCACCAAATCTCTTCTAGCTATGTCCTTATGGATATATTCTTACCGTTATATCTTGAGACAAATATTCTGAGATCGATATATTCATTATCGTATTTTTAGGTCTTTATTATTAAATCTATACCTCACAGGTTTTCATTTATAATTATATCATTAGACATATCTCCTTACACATATAACCTTATAACTATCCTGAAGTCTGTATCTCTACATGTTCATCTGTTTTTCGCATACAATTGTCTGAGCGGTAGACCCCGTCGGGCCCGGGTCCAAAAATTTAATTTTGATCGGGTCCGGGTCTGGAAATTTTCTATAAAGCAGGCCCGGGTTGGGTCCGGGTCTAAAGCAATTTTTGGTGCATATGAGAATATTTTTTTGAAGTTTTACTGATCTTCAGTTTTCTCTGGAGAGCTAGTTGCTTTTGATTGTTAGTGTTGAAAATAAATTGTTTGTGTTCAATAGAACACATTGTTTTGGTTTCAGACACAGACGGGATCAGGTCCGGGTAAGGTTCGGGTCCAAAATTTTTCTATTCATCGGGTCCAGGTCCGGTTCTGAAATTTTATTTGTAAAGACCGATTACGGGTCCAAGAAAAGTTCAACAAAGCGGGTACGGGTACGGGTCCGGGTTCAGAAATGTTGTACCCGACGAGCTCTACTGAGCGGCCCAATTTTGTAGAATTTGTATTACCTTGTGATAGAAACAGCTTTTTTCTTTGCCGGGTGGTATGAATTTTTTGAGTTTTTAAAAATATTATTTTGGAAAAATTAATCATGAAAGTATGTTTTTGCGCAAATGAAATACTTGTTACTGATGACCAAGACGATGTGTGAGAAGGAACATGCATCACACTATTCTGTTTAGTGAAAATTCTTCAAATTATACTCAATTAATTGTTTATCAACTCACTTTTATATCAAGTTATATTGTAGAAAAATAATGGAATAATTATTTAGCATTGTAATTTATCATAAATTTATTTGTTGTTCCCAGTATTTATTGTATATATTGCGTTCAGACAAAAGAGATAACGAAACAAATATAATGTGAAAAGTACATTAAGTATAAAACGAGTTTTATAATGCCCTTGCCTGGTGGACATTTAATTCATATACAAAGTTAATATAGAAATTGTAGTTTTACCAAGTTTTATATTCATAAATTCATGCAAGGAAAGATAATATGTATGGAAATACATACTGATAAGCGTTATAGTAGTGAAACAGGACTCTTACGTTATTAGTGTAATAAACAGGAAACAAGTATGACTAATCGAGAAGTTTATTTCCTTGGTATAGATCGTAAACGTAAAAAATGCCTTATACCGATATATTGGTGAATCCAGTTCGGTCTGGCCGTTTAGATTGATATTGGTACGGATAAGGAAAAAACTTTAACCGATCCCAAGTCTGTTTTGAACTTATACTCTTATAACTATACGTATATGCCTGTATTCTGCATTTATATCCTTAGACTTATAGCCTTATGACTATATACCGGGATGTATATGCTCAAATTGGCTCTCACTCTTCAAAGCATCAACGTGCGAGACCAGTGTCTCATTTTGTATTGTACAAAGAAGCAAAGTAGGATAAAAAAATAGAGATAATAACTACGACTCTCGATGCTTAATGTCTGGATACTAGTAAATCGAGCTTAATGAATTCTAATTGCATAGACTCTTAACCATTGCATCAGTGAGTGGGGACGATGGATAAGGGAAAACATCATTCTAATCATGGATTGTCGAGTAATTTTAATGATTCAATTACCATGTTAATTTTCTGTCCAGGTGCATTGGTTTATATGAAACATTTTGACATGCCATTCATACAATTGGTTTTCTATATAAGCTTTTTCTTACGAGTTAAAGAGAAAAAAGATTCAGAAGAAATTTATGACATCATTTGCTCGTGCATGAGTTTTTGTAGAAAATGTACCAAAATAGTTCGGTAAGAAAAATACGATACTCTCTTACATTTCACAAAACTGTGAAGAATTTCACGGTATCAATACAGAACTTTTCATTCTATTAACTAGATACAGTAGATTCCGTAGAACATATGTGAAATCTTTTTGTGTTAGGCAAAACTATCAAATATTCCCTACAAATCATACAGAACCATTTCTTTTCCTACCAAATCATATGGAGTTCTACAAAGAAAATATAAAATCTTCTTTTGATCCTAGAAGACACAATGGTTTCGTGTGAAAAGTGCGAAATTCTTTGCGTTTTTCTGAGCATCGAAATGGGTTACTATGAAGGATACTAAATCTGTCGAATTTCTCTAAGTCAACAAAGGTTTGACACGAAATATGCGAGATGATTTCCATTTTACGGAACCTAAGAAAGTTCCGTACCCAAATATGAAACTTCTATGGTACCGTAATAAATCTAATGTTTTTATAATGTGGTATATTGTGGTTGATGTTTTCTTCGTTTTTTAAAAGAACAACATTTTTTATTCTATCCAAAACTAATTTCTAATTCTTCGACACGAAAATGTTCATGAAGAAAGGACATTGAAACGTACTATACATTATGTTTTGTGAAGTAGTTTATCTGGCTATCGACACTGTGAGCCATTTTTCGTCTGAATAAGAAACTTTTTCTTTTATATTTTTCCGTTTTGTAGGGAATTCCAAATTACATAACCAGTGAAAATGATCTTGGAATCTTGTAACGAGGAAACATTCCCAACTGATACGCACCGTTCGAGCTCATGTTTTATTGATGACTGGGGTTGATCATGTATATAAATTATCTAAAAGGATTCTTGCCGTTTATGCTTGGTTTCAGAGTTACTAGCGGAATAAGTATCATGATAGATAGCACTATCTTCTCTTTATTACTTTTTGTTATTTTATCTTAATTAGGAAATATATTTTTCAGTTGAACATTTGATTACCAACTTATGTTGTTTATAACTATTCACCGTACAATTCTGAGTTGAAGTTGACGTTTTTGTCTGGAAAATAGAGCATGTCTTGTTCCTCGCTTTTTTGGATAATCTTTTTTATTTGTTTCATCCATAAGCCTTGGCAAGAGTTCTTCATTCTCCTTAGATTTCATGCATAAGAAAAAATTAAAATGAAAAAGTAGTTATAGTATTTGTTGTTAAACAGATTATGATATTGTAGAAAAAATACGCGAAACAAAGCCTCCGTATCCAAATAAAAAATTCAAAAAGCTTAGTTGGATAAAGCAAATGGGTTTTATTCGGTAGAATGTAAAGAGAAATACGTTTTCTTGTTTCTTCGAGAATACATAGTATGTTATGTGGTTATAATAGAACAATCATCAGAAGAACTTCTCTTGTTCATTCACTGAACGCAAAGTCAGATTCAACCGATAATTTTTAACGTGAATAGTCATAAACCAGACAAGTTGGTAATCAAATGTTCAACTGAAAAATGTATTTGCTAGTTAAGATACGAAAAGAAGCAAAAAAATAATACAGAGTAAATGGTGCCATATACCATGATACTTGTTCTGCTCAATGGCATGAACTATGTCAGATAGTTTATACATATGATCAACCTTAATCATCAGCAAAACATGAACTCGAATGGTGCGTATCAGTTGGGAATGCTTTCTTAGAAGTTGACTGAATGGCAGCTAATACACTATAAAAGGTAGATATTCTTTTCACTCAAAAAATGACTAGTCACGGACAACACTTGGCGCATAACTCTGGATTAGCACATTGAAATATAATATGTAAACAGCAAATTTTTTTTTCGCGCTCAGTCCTCTATGTTTTGACACATTGTACGAAAAATTTCCTTCGTGTATTGCAATCTTAAAAAACTCAACTTTATAGACATTTTTTTTATCGCAGTCTCCCACAACTCTGCTCAGTGCTCAATAGTAGGTTGATAAGAGTTGTTTGTTATGATATGCGACTATAACATCAAATCATATTTGTCTTCGATGTGTATCCTGTTCTTGAGTGTCTAGGTGTGTGTGTTTGAATAGGTGTCCATATTAGACGTGAAAAGAACACCAGCATTAACACCCAAGGCAATAGAAAAGGCAGGAAAAAAAGCTTGTTAGCGCAGCCCCTTTGGGGCTGAAACGTGGAACTCACATATACTGAGAACATTATTTTTTTTCTATCTGTGCATATGAAAAGAAAGTTTCTAAAATTTCCTATCCAATATTAAATCATCACTGTCACTACTGTTGAATTGACCTAAATAGGATCATCCAATCTCTGAAATATTGATACTGCGCTCATCTCAAATATATGTGTCTGTTTCTTTTCAAATATTAGACATTCATTTATTATACCTAATTAGTTGTTTGAATGATTTCTGCGATTATAATCGTATAAAAACTCTCATAGATGAAAATTTTATTCTATGTAGTGTTCAATATTTTCTTTTTCAGATTTTTCATAAACCCCTCCGTTTAAACACATGTAAAAAGCATGGCATCATCTTTTTATGCATTACGACAGCTTTTTGATACCGCTCACAAGCATCCACAAAAGATCGTTCTAGTACTTGATGATCAAGCGTGGAGCTACAGTGAATTGATCGAACAGATCGAACGTGTAGCAAGTTATCTACATCGGCTAAACATTGTTCGAGGACAAATCATTTACCAGTTTCTCGAACGAAGTTTAGAGATGATCTGCGGTTTTTATGGTATCTTATGCGCTGGCGGTGCATACTGCGCATTAAATCCGACAGATCCGCATGAACGTGTCGTTTCACTTCTCGGTCAAATAGGTGGACAATATGTTTTGTTGCATGAAAAAACTCGCAAACAGTTTCCCTCAACAGCTGTTCCGTATGTTGTTCTTTTGGATGATATTCTTCTACCATACATAGGAATTGAAGACATAGGTGATCTTCCTGTTTGTGAAGAATACGGAGCTGCATACATTATTTGCACATCAGGCACGACTGGAAGACAAAAAGCGGTTGTTCATACTCACAAAAGTTTTTCGGCATGTGCTGCAGCATTTATTCAATCAGATGTTGGCATGTATACACTGCGCGATCAAGTTCTTCAAGTTGCAGCTTCTTCATGGATTTTGCACCTTACAGAAATATCAGTGCCACTAGTTGTTGGTGGTACTCTTGTACTCCTGCGATCAGGAGGTAATTTAGATATGGCTTATTTTTGTCGAACTCTGGTATATCAACAAGTAACAACACTTACAATTGGTCCTGCAATAATTCTAGCTCTCACCAATTATCTCGAAATGAGTCAACAATTGGAAGTTTTCAAGTTTGTGCGCAACTTGTGCACAGGAGGTGATGATGAACCTTTTCGTTTAATTTCTTATTACTTTTGTTACCTACTCATTCTTGTATATTTAGGAGAACCGATAAAACCACAATCATGGGCTCGATTTATCAGTTTTTTAAGTTCGTCCAACACTCGAGTCGCCGTTCAATATGGTACGACTGAATCCAATGGTGCTCTTGCGTGTCACTTGTTTGACATTACTGATCCAATTCTGTCCATGGGTTATCCATTGCCAAGCATTAAATGTTTGCTCATTGATGAACAAGGTCAGCAAATTAGTAATAGTGGCAAACCAAATGAAATCGGTCAAATTCATATTGGAGGTCAGAATTTCTTTTCTATTCCGATCATTATCGTCGACTAGTTTTCTTTTTTTTTTCATAGGACCGACTCTATTCAACTGTTATTTGAATGATCCAGAGCGTACTAGCAATATGTTTGTAACCATTGATAATCAAGTTTTTATAAAAACAGGTGATTTAGCTCATTACAACAACCGTGGTGAACTTGTTTATGATGGACGCATTGATTTTCAAATTAAACTACGTGGTCAACGAGTGGAAACAGTCGAAATTGAAAATACAATTATTCAATGGTCACCTAACAAAATTTCCAACTGCCTTGTCACTAAACTTCCGCAAAGTGATGATTTACTTGTTGCTTATATAATTTCAAATGATTTGAAGGTCAACACTGAAGATATTCGAGACTATTGCAATAAACATTTGCGTCAATATATGGTTCCATCCTATTTTATTGTAATGGATACATTTCCACTTAATTCCAATGGAAAAATCGACAGAAAGCAACTTCCACTACCGTCATTACAGTATGATGTGCCAACTAACTTTCTTCGAAGTGAAGATCGATCAATTTCGGAACTAGAAGAGAAAGTACATCAATTGTGGTGTTCTACATTGAAAGTTGATGCTGTTCCTCGTCACATGAATTGTTTCGCTTTGGGTGGTTCATCTCTTTCATTGATGCAAATGTTCAACTATTATCAATTTCACTTGACTCCAAACAAACAACTCAATGTACTTGATTTTTTTCTTAATCCAACTATTACTGAACATGTTCAACTCTTGATCAATAGCAAGACAAAAATATATGTGATTTGGAGTTCACTTCATCTTGTACAAGGTACGTTTTCTCTATCAAAATAAAAACCTTGTATCTAACTACCTAACTCTAAATAGGAGTGACGTCATGTGCACAAGAACGCCTTTGGATGGACGAAAAGGTACGTTTCAATGAATCAATCAATGGGCAAGCATCTATTTATAATGAATTACTCATCTACAAATTAACATCAGTTACTTCATTGTCAATAGATCGTCTCCGTCAGGCTCTTACATTTATTGTTAGTAAACATGAAATACTTCGTACAGCATTAATTTATGATGAAGACAAACTCATACAAAAGGTACTACCAATATCAAATGATTTGTTCAATCTAGAAACAACATATGTAATGAATGATACTCATTTGAAGGAAATTCTGTATAATGAAGAAACAAATCGATTTTTGTTTAATCTTGAGCAAGGTCGTGTATTTCGATGTCATATTCTTCGTCAATCCTTTCACAATGATGACGACAACAATTTAAAACAAAATGACATCATTCTGTTTAACTTTCATCATATTGCTGTTGATGGTAGTTCAATTACCATCTTCATTAATGATCTCCGACAAGCTCTTACAAAGCAAGAACTATCTAACAACAAAGAAGACAATATCACTTATCTTGATTATGCACAATATGAACGATTAGAAGACTGGTCAAGTGCTCGACAATATTGGCATAGTGTCCTAGCAACTTTAGATAATTCAATTGGTCAACAAAATTCTATGATACGAACGGGCAAGGGTTGTACAGTAGCATTCGATCTTGATCATGATCTTGTTATCAATTTGAATCATTTTATTTCCCAATCAAATTTTACACTTTTTCAAGTTGGTCTTGCTGCCTTCTTTGCCTTTCTTTTTAAAATGTCCAACAGTCAGCAGCTCGATTTGTACACAGGTATAGTTGTGGCCAATAGATCTCAATATCAACTTCAAAATTTGATTGGTTTTTTTGCCAATACTCTACCATTTTGTCTGCGAATTGATCCGTACCAATCTTTTATCCAACTTTGTCACCGAATTCAACAAGTTTGGCTTGATATACTGCCACACTCACATTTCCCGTATCAGGAAATTGTTAAACTTAATCCAAATGTAGGATCCTCTTTTCTTCGAATTCTCTTTCTTTTTGAGACGACAATCAGTAACAATGAAAAAAATATAGAAATCAATGAAGGAACTACACTGAACTTTATAGACAAATACTTACTGACTAGCAATATTACTAAATTTGACACAGCCTGTATATTCAACGAGAATCGACAAAACGAGACCATTTCTGTTACACTTAATGCTTCATTAGATATTTATGACGAATCCACAATTTCCACAATGGCCATGCGTTTGAAGAATATTTTTAATCAACTCTTTTCTATTTCCTCCATCTATCAATTCTCACTGTTACTCCCACATGAAGTTAAATTAATACATGATTTGAACAATAATTTTCTTGATTATGGTCAGATTGGTTGTATTCATTGGGACTTTGCAAATCAAGTTCATATACATTCTCAAAAAGTGGCTTTAATTTTAGAAAATGGATCGATGACTTATGGTGAACTGCTTTTCTATGCTCAACAATTAGCTAATCATTTAATCACTGAATGTACTGTTCAACCAGGCCAAATTGTTTGTCAATTAATAGAACGATCTTTTGAAATGGTAATTGGTATATTAGGTATTTGGATGAGTGGTGGTGTTTATGCTCCTTTGAACTTGCATGATCCTGATACACAACTTAATACATGTATTCAACAGACTGGTGCCAATGTCATTCTCGTGCATCAACCTACACAGGATCAGCTTCTTTCCCAATGTTTAATGATTAATGTTGATCAGGTAATTCGTTATGGTCGCATGAACGAAGAAATAACGACATACATCGATTCTATCAATGTGACATCTGAACATATCTCACATATTATTTTCACAAGTGATCTCTATGGCTTACTGAAAGCAGTAAGCAAATACAAAGAATTAGTATAAAGACCTATGATTGATTTGTTCTTCATGATTACTTTAGATTCAACTTCGTCATCGTAATTTTATTGCAAGTATTCGTTCAAACCCTATGAAATCGACAGACACTGTTCTTCATCATACATCAGTTAATTTCGATGTTCATTTATTAGAAATCATCGGAACCCTAATAATGGGTGGTCAAGTAATTCTGCTTCATCCAAATGGCAATCTCAGTATGATTACATTTTCTGAAACAATTCGTCGTCAACAAGTCACTATTTTGAATATCATGTCTTCATTACTAATCACACTTGTTGATTATTTACGTACTGCAAATAACAAGGAATGTTTACAGACTCTTTGTTGTGTTTTATGTAGAGGTAAGAAAGAATACTAAAGCCTACTTCTTTTCCAATCTATTGCTTTTCTCTCAACAGGAGAACCATTGATGGCAAGTACTATAGGCAATATTTGGAATTTTCTGAATGAGCACTGTCGTTTTTATAACCATCATGGTTATATAGAAAGTACAGGTCCAGCGGTTCAATACTTGATTGCAGTTAATAATGATGACGATGAGCTTCTACCAATAGGACGACCTTTGCCAAATGTTCACATCTATCTCTTGGACGAATATTTTCAACCAGTTATACCTAGTGTTCAAACAGGTGAAATCGTCATCGGAGGTAATATTTAACAGAGCTAAATCATTTATTATCTTTTTACATCGAAATAAAATAAGAGCTATATCACTGTTTTGTATATTGATAGGTTCAAGCATCTTTTCTGGCTACTATGAACGTAATGATCTTACATGTAGAGTACTTTGTGAGTTCAATGGTGAAACCTGTTATAAGACAGGTGATTTAGGTTGTCTGAATACCAGAAGCAAACAACTTGAATTCAAAGAACATCGGAATCATCAAGCGAAATCGAAAAATGAGCGAGTAGAACTAGAGAAAATAAAAGAAATTTTGATGAAAATAGTGACAAATTGTATTGTCATTAAAGCAAAACATAATAATATTGATTATTTCGTGGCCTACGTTCAAACTATACATACTATTCAACATTTGAGACAATATTGTTTAGCTCGTCTTCCATTCTATATGGTGCCATCTATTTTTATACTTCTCGACATCTTACCAGTTGATCAAAATGGAGAAATAAATAAAAAAAATCTTCCATCACCTGATTTTACTGGCCTCTCTACGTTTCTGAATGAAGTGAAACTGCCACGAACAGAAATGGAACAACGAGTACACAAAATATGGCATCAAGTACTTTCTCATGTTGACTCAATATTATCAATCTCAATATCGTTCTTTTCTCTAAGAGATGATCCTGGATCATTTATAAGCTTATTTCATTTATATTCAACCAATTTCAAGCATAATCTTTCTATCACTAAGTTTCTTAAGCATCCAACAATAGAAGAACATGCGCGTCTTCTGCTCGAAAATGTAACTATAAGAACAACAACTTCTGACCGATGCCAATTGATAAATATAATGGAAGGTGAGCAAAGATTTGTCTTTGTTTTCTTCCGAACTATTTTTTCATTTGGATAGCTCTCTTAATGTCAACTGAAATTAACTAACCTATATGCTAGTATAGCTGGCCATATGAGCACAATGAATCACGCACTTTTTGTAACCCTTTTCTCAAAAGGTTACGATAGATACCTATAGAAAAAGAATTTCTTGGATGTCCGTCATTAAAAACATTAGAATGACTGATGTTTTTTGTCATAGCTAATATTGTCAAGTTTCTATTTCTAGAGATAATACTTACAAATACTGTGTCAAACTATCATAAGATATTGACGATTTATCGTCCTATTTTCACTACTTCAGTATCTTGTGCGTGATATGTTACAAAGTCACCACAAAATGAATTGAAATGAAATAATGTCAAGTATAATATATTTAGAGGTCATGAGATTAGTACGTCTCCTTGTAAACCACTAGTCATCATATATCTCATTGTACAGGAAGAGGACTGCTTGTTGAAAAAAATGTCAATAATTCCATCTTTTTAGTAAAAAAAAAACGTTGAATTGTTGTTCATAAAGTAACAATTTATGATTCTGACGATTTACAGGTCAAAATAACGTAAGAAAGTATTGGTATGAAAAAATAAAATTAATATTTTATTATTTTTTGAAGTTTATAAATGATTGAATACTTGTAATGAATTAAATGGTGACAGCCGGTAAAGCAAGTGTAAAAATGCAAGGCTTATTATGTCATCAAAGAAAGTTCCACGAGAATAAATTCAATTGCACAATGTTGAATTCGGTGGAGTCGCTTTGATACTCATAATCAAGTTTTCAAACGCTAGACAATTCATAAACTTTCTCTTTGCTAAGAAATCACAAAGCAATAAAACGAGTTCTCAAGAAAAGTCAAATGTCAACTTTCGATGATTTCAAATACAATTTACTAATTAGAAGCATGTCCATGAATATTCGAAATAACTTCTTCGATGATAAAGTTTCTAAGCCTAACTTCTAGAGTATGTGATTAATGAAGATATAGAATTCTAAAAAACAGGTGGAGTCGGAACTTTCAGATATTAAACAAAATTCTATATAATTCGTTTTAGCTTTAAATTTACTTCATTTTCTATAACTTAGTATCTATCTCACGTCAGAACACTGTGAAAATATTGTAACCCTCATAGTCATGTATTTGTATCAGCAGGCGATTCGTTCTCAGCATCAAATTGTGTATTATAATTATTGAAAATATTTAGATTACATTTCTAAGCCTTAGAAACAATTTGGTGCAGTCCGATCTAATTTTTGATCAAAGTAATCTTGGAATTCTAAGAATTAGATTTATGCCTGGAATTTATTCGTAGAATATTCGAAATTGCAGAGCTAGATGCCTGCCCAGACCTAACTAGTAATCAAACAAAGTTATAGGAAAAATTTTATCTTAAATAATCATAGCAACGTAGAATCTGACGATATGTTAAGATATAGCAAGCAGTGTATCGAGACTAAATAATTTTCCACCAAAAAAAAAAAACAAGATCAAAGCTAATCACTAATATAGTACACATTAAAATAAAATGTATCGTAGTGGGAATGTGTTGTGGTTTGTCTGATAACTAGTCATTTTCAGTTTTGTTTTTGGCGTACACTTCACATATAACCAAGTCAATTGGGCATCATGAGCATATTATACATTTTCGACGTATCATTTTTTACCAGATTATTTCTTGATTATCTATTGATCGAGAAAGAACTATCTTTAAAATAGTTTGGTCGACATCAAACGAACTCAGAATACATCGTACAGTACAATATATATAATACATTTAATGTTTAGTGTGTAAAAGACGAGAAAGGCAAACTTAATCAATATTCATCTATCAATGCTGTATAATTCATTTGTCGCGTATCATTCAACTTGAACCAAAAGAAAGTTATCGATACGAAACGAAATAGGTAGCACTAAGAGAATGAGCAAAATCGGTCTTCTATAAAATTTTATTACGAAAAAGAAAGTCAACAAAAATATCATTATGATATGTCGCCCTGGTAGAATTATCCATGACAAAGAAAGCAAAATAATATATCTCGTCAGTTTATCATTATTTATGTATCAGATAATTTGAAGACGTCGCGAACCGCAAGCTCGAGTCCGTATTTGTGTCATTATTAAGCTCCAAGGAAATTGGAAAATACCTAGAAAATGTCTAAACTTTGGTCACTTAGATAAAACTTTAATTCAAATAATTTTTAAGTTACACTGATTTTACTTATTGTCGATTTTTAATTATTTCTTCTTCTGATCAGTTAGGCTTCATAGTTTTTCTGATGGAATTTTTATGTAATATTACGAATTTGAATCTTTTTCATTCTTCATTTTATTGCGACGTATCAATATAATTCAAATCCATAATGTAACGGAAAATAATATTTAAACCTTCTATTTCTCTTTTTTGTAAAGTATCCAGCAGATAAAAAAATAAACTACGGGAAACCATGTTCAATGAAAAATTAATTGAAGGAAAGAACACATTAGCAACAATACACGAATTTAAACGACTTTTTTTCGAGAACGAAAGAACCTTGTGACGTGAGTAGAAACAGTTGAAAGTGATAGTATCATACTAAATACCTTTGTAACAAAGTTCAGATCATGAATAATCAGAAGAAAAAAGAAAAAATTAAGAACAACATAAAAACTCTCGACCGTTCAGTCTATAAGACATCAGGTTTCTGTTCACATAGACCATGGGTCTGCACTTTTTTAGAGTTTTGTTCGTATTCTAGAGCTGTATTCGTAGTAAAGATATAGAATCAAAGACTATCCATCAGTTGGAAATGTTTTTTTCAGAGGTTTTCAAAGCAACAGTAGAATGAATAAGGTTTTTTAGATTCTTATTGTAAAACAAAGAAACGCTAGATTTTAAGGAGTGATGTTTCGTAGCAAATGTTCAAGCGAATGAAAGAGAAAACATTGTTTACTGCATATATTCTCGTCTGAAGGGACTGCATGATTCAATCTATATTTTTACGAGAAGGTTGCTTCTTTATTATGCTGATAATGTTTCTTTCACAAGTTTTAAATATGAAAGAAGCAATTTCATCGAATAGTAAATTGTCACATAACAGACTACTCAAAATCTCCATGTTCTTTGAGTCGGTATTATATATCGGGTCAGCATGAAACATGGATCAACGCATTTTACTGTGTCAATCATATATGTCATTGTTGATTATAAAGAAAGATGTGTAAAATAGAATAAAAGTAGAGTAGACAACGAAAGTATGGATATTTGAACAGCACCATTATGATTTGCAAAAGTATTTATTTGTTTATAGTCAGAAAATGTATAAGATACGTAGTCATACTATAATAATATGAAGAAAAAACATCGGATATCGAAAAGTACATGCAAAGCGGATTTTGATAGATGCAACGAACAAAATAATAAACATGATGTTTTCTGGTTCATTTCCAGATTCTTATAATCATATACAATATTTTCAATATAACAGTAATGTATCGGAAATTTTCAAATACCAAGATTTATGTTGCAGTTCACAAGAACTTTTCTACATATGAGAGTCGAACGAACGACAAAATTGCATTCAACAACACAATAGACGGACAGAATCAAGAAAAAGACTGAGACGAAAGAGAAAGATGATTAAAAAAAAATTTGATAAATATCATACGTTAAATCAAGTAAATCCAGAAGTAGAAAGACATTTCTCCATAAATCCTACAAATAGCTGAGTAGTTATTTGTTCATTACCAGTAGAATACTTTGAGAGCGACATAGAAATGCACCAAGCAATTTAGACTTGTGCTTTTAAGCAGGATGGGCAAGATGAATCTTGTAACAAAATGAATTGACGACAGATTGATTAAAAGACTATCGTTGATTCCATAGTTTTCTGTGTATTAACTGTAACCATTTGTCCAATAGATATTAAGTTTACATGAATCATCATTTTACAATATATCACAGCAATACAATGTTTTCGATTGAAATACGAAATAATTTCGATACAACCATGATACTCCAAGTAACTATGAGAAAAAAGTCGAAATTCTGACAGTGATGCATCAAAGAAATTTTCTTTTTATCAATTTATAAGATTCGATACATACAGGGTGTTTCATAAGTTTTGAGGCTTGACAAAAATTAATACATACGCAAACAAAGAGTGAT